ACGGCCATCTGGAGACACTTTGGACTTGGTCAATCCGGGGATATCGAGGGTAGTTGCTCGCACTCGACCGGGAGTACCCGGAGGCTGATAAAGGCCCGATCTGCAAGGATCATATTAGTCACAGGCTCGCCAAGCGCATCCAAGTAAGTCGTAAGGCAGCAAAATGCAAAACAACAGGGTGGAGTCCGGGGTAAGGTAGATTAGCTCAGAATAAGGCAGCAAAGAGCCCCGGAACTGAACTCATCCCGAGATCAGCCGGTCAAGCCTCGTTGTGATAGGCTCATACATAGTGAAGTCCAAAGGTTCTAGACAAAAAAAGAAAGAATACTCACATCTGTGGAGACGGAGGAGCGGTAGAAACCGGAGTGTCTGTCAAAGCCGTTCCGACTCCGCCCTTGGGCGGCAGTGAAGATTTGTGGGAATCGGAATGCAGGTCGTTACCTAGCGCTCGGTTGACCACAGTTTTCGGGGGCATAAGAGCTCCTTCTTTTCCCGATCCCGAGCTATTGGAGGTGCCGTTGGATTTAATATCAATCCTCTGGTCCCCCATCTCAGGCGAAGTGGCCGACGTCATGGCCGACCGGGCAATGCTAGAATGTTGCGCCATCCCACTGGGGATAGTTCTGTGTTTGTGTTTTATTAAGAAGGGGTAATGTTGCTCTTTTTCAGAGCTTTCTCACAGGATCTTGAGTTGGATAAGGACTTGTGTCACAGCTGGGCAACTGAAAAAAAGATGATGGGAGAGGGGAGAGAAGGGAAAGTGTTGTGAGGTTTGGATGAGTCAACCAACGGGAAACACTGGGTCTGATATTGACCACCTGAGATATTCAAGGGGTTGCAAGAATCAAAGTGGTTGGCTTCCTTTTTTTTTATCTGTTCTTTTTGGCGCAAAGGTAATTATTTTGAGGTTGGTGTCCAATATGTGGAAGTACAATATCACTCAAGGATATTGCCAAGGACGTCAGAGATTAGGAATGATGAAATTACGCTGCCGAATTGACTTAGTCCATTAGATGGTGGATCGATGGCTTGAAGATCGCCCATATGATGTCAAAGTGTATACAGCATGAGGGGAAAGATGTGGAGATGCAAGATATCCAGGTCGGATCCAGGATTGAACAGCTCTTATAGACTTCACATCGATTGGAGGTCTCACAAAATCATGCAAGATGTATTGGTCCTATATCTAATAGAGAATGCTTGGCTAGAAAGCATACGGGGTACAGGTCCGAGAAAAACACGCCGGTGGAGCATCGAACCATGCTCAATCTCGCCCCTGTGCACTTTGCCAACCCTACAATATCCTCATAATCCACCGAAATGCTCATACCTGTTGGGTTTCCCGTCTTGTAAGGGGTGCCAGGGCACGCCGCGAGTTGATGCTAGATAACCCTCCGTGTTGGGAATCGAACTCAGCCTCCAGTGAATCGAACAATAATTATTGGAACGCCTTGTATGACCTGAGTCTCACCGCTCGGGCTGATCCATACTCGGCTTCCTTGGCGACTTTCGGTCCTCGTCACAACAGATTGATCTCCGACCAACTGTAGGCGTCCATTGCTGCACGCTGATCTCCGCTACCGTAAGCGCCGAAAATGGTAACCCATATTCCGTGGTCAGGTGCGGAATCCTTGGCGCTTGGCGGTAACGCAGGGGGTGTCACGGATAGCATGCCTAGAAGATAGCCTCCAGGGATATTGGATACGGTGTATGGATGAATCGCGTGCAACCATCAAGGCAGAATGTTCCTTATCAGTTGCTCAGGTTCAAGGTCAGGCCAATCAAGCATGCGTATGCCGCAATACTCAGTGCTGTCAAGACCAAGACCGCATTTCCACTGGTACGGAATTTGTGCCGATGGATCCCATCCTCTCCTACTTCAGAGAAGAATTGTCTGTTTCCCTGCGAACGGCGGAAAAGTCCAATGATGAGAACTCCCGTGCCGTATATCGCGAATAGAGCCCCAATACTGTAGAACTCGGCGGTGAAAATCTTGAGTACGACCAGGGCGAAGGAGAACTGCGAAAGAGCAGTTCGGACATAGGCCCCCTCAAAGGTGCGTTGGGCCGCACGCACCTCGACCATTTCATCTGAAGTCAGCACTGCCGAACGGGCTCGGTGCATTCGAAGGCGATAACGATCCCCTGCACGACGCTGAGACAGTCAGATTACTACTACTGGGTGAGGTAGGACAGGATGGGATGAAGAATATTGGGTAGACAGGGAGATTCTAGGTAAACACGGTAAACACACCTCAAACATGGTCGCGAAATGTTGAAAGAGTTCAAGAGTGAATTATTCGTGGAATGATATCCGACGTCACAAGTTCAAGGAAGTTGGGTTCCGCAGTGGAAGAGTTCGAGGGGAAGAGATGCGGGTGAACTGGAACCCTTGGCTCTCACGTGGGACCTCGGAAGTGTATAGTCACTCAGGTACTATGTTGTATGTATATGATGTATACTGTATACAATGTACTTTTCTCTTCTGATTCTTGATAATAGGCCAAATATATTCCACCAATAACGTCGTGTCAATTCCAATCCCTTCTTGGCCGGCAATTGAAAATTCCCCAACAAGGAAAAAGCGACCGAAGGTTCCCCACACTCTCCGGGGTTCGAGATGTATCTCCAATTTACTTCTCTCACCTTTTTCCCTTCCCATTCCTCTCTCCAGAGAATACCCAGTCGCAGCCCCTAAGAGCTATCATTCAATCCACCCTCGCGCCGTGATTGAGAATGGCAAAAGTATTCGATGCGACAGAAGGTATTGCTTCTCCGCACCGGTCCCTGACCCCCACGCAGGATGTTTCGACTGACTGAAGAAATAGTCGCAAAGCACAACACTCGTGAGAGTTGTTGGGTGGTTCTGTACGGCAAGGTCTACGATGTACGCTTTCATTCGATTCTCATTGTGTATTATCCATTCCCCGGCCACGTCTGACTCTTTATCTAGGTCACCGATTTCCTGGGCAGCCACCCCGGCGGTGCAAAGATCATTTTGAAATTGGCCGGGCAGGATGCCACCGAGGAGTACGATCCCATTCACCCGCCAGGTATCTTAGAGGAGGAGCTTAAGCCCGAGGCCTGCTTGGGGACCATCGATGCTAGTACATTACCAAAGGAGCAGGCATCCTCTGAACCTGCAGAAGAAATTGAGGGTCCACCACCTATGGAGTGTCTCCTCAACTTGGACGAGATTGAGGAAGTGGCTACCAACCAAGTGAGCAAAAAGGCCTGGGCATACTATTACTCCGCATCCGACGACCAAATCAGCAAAAACTTCAACAATGAGGTTTACCGGTCCATTCTCTTGCGACCTAGAGTCTTTGTGGATTGCACAAAGTGCGATCTGGACACAGCCGTCCTCGGCCATAAACTGAACACGCCTGTTTACGTGTCTCCCGCGGCGATGGCCCGTCTGGGTCACCCATCTGGTGAGGCCGGGATCGCAGAAGCATGTCGCAGCTTTGGGGCCATGCAAATCATTTCCAATAACGCTTCCATGACACCAGAGCAGATCGTCAAAGATGCTGCTCCAGATCAAATCTTTGGCTGGCAGATTTATGTCCAGATTGACCGCAAAAAGAGTGAGACGATGCTTGCACGCATCCAGAAGCTCAAGGCGATCAAGTTCATAGTTCTTACCCTTGACGCCCCAGTTCCAGGGAAACGCGAGGAGGATGAGCGAGCCGGCATGGTCGGACGGACCGCTGCCGTGCCCAGCGGGGTAAAGGCCGCGGAGCGCTCATCGGACGATACCCCCAATCCAACCCAAGGGTCTGGAGGTGTCGGTCAGCAACTGTTCGCAGGCACCGATCCTTCCTTGACATGGACGGATACTTTGGCATGGCTTGCCACTCAGACGGATCTGCCTATTGTCTTGAAAGGTCTGCAGACTCACGAGGATGCATACCTTGCCTCACTCCACGCACCTCAGGTTAAAGGTATCATTCTCTCTAATCACGGAGGGCGCGCCATGGACACTGCTCCTCCGGCAGTTCATACTCTCTTGGAAATTCGGAAATACTGCCCCGAGGTCTTCGACAAGATCGAGGTCTATGTGGATGGAGGTATTCGTCGTGGCACAGATGTCGTCAAGGCTCTCTGCCTAGGCGCGAAAGCAGTTGGCCTTGGACGTCCGGCTCTGTGGGGCTTAGCGGCTGGTGGAGCCGACGGTGTTCGTCGAACATTGGAGAGTAAGTCGACTGGGTATTTGATCTGGTTCTATTTCTAACTCTGTGGTAGTCCTGAACGATGAGATCAAGACATGTATGCGGCTGCTTGGGGTGGAACGGATTGATCAATTAGGGCTCCAACATGTAGGTTCACCCTCATCATTTCGTCGTTTGTTCTACTAACTCTGCTCTTAGATCAACACCCGCGTTGTCGAGCAGCAGATCTACGATGGTCCTACTGCTCTCGAACCCTTACGGCGCGCATTCCGTGCGAGATTGTAGGGGCCAACCAAATGTAAATGTGTTTTATCTTCTTATAATTTGACTAAGTGGATTCTTCTTATCTTACATCGCATTCAACGTTTAACCGTATGCGACGGTGTTTTTCTCTCCAAAAAGTATACGCTGGCCCACTCTATCAGCGCCACTTCAACCCATCTCCACCCCCAATCCACACACAACCGAAAAACTCTTCCGGAGGAGAGAAAAAGACCAAAAATTAGTTTCCCTGGGAATCGAACCCAGAACCTTTCCGGAACACTTGCTTGAAGCAATTGTTAACGGAAAATCATAACCGCTAGACCAGGAAACTGATTGATGTAGGACGAGGCTTCTTAAAGTACTATGAACAAGAAACTTTCTTATACTATTTCGACAGATGATATTTGTTATCATACATAATGCTCAAGATTATCCTCTGTTATAAACTAATTATTTAGAACTGGACTACCGTTAGTAATATATATACGTACCTATTACATCCCGAGGTAGCCATATATATATGCCCCGCATCTCAAGACCTCTCCCTTCATACCTCCATACCACAATGGCTGCAAACATACTACTACAATGGTTTCCTCATACAGCCGCTCCATTCATTGCTAATGCACCAATGTTTGGGTTTACAGATGCCGGCCTAGCAACTGCCGTCGGAAAGGCCGGAGGATTCGGTATAGCAAACCGAACTGACTGCTAGACCTTAGACTGACCATCTATAGGGTTTATTGGTGGGGGCTTTGACTTCCGATCTGAATCCACCCATCTTCTAGGCCTAGATGCTGAGCTGGCAAATGCCCGCTCTATCCTCGGTTTGACCGATGGTCAACCATTGCCGCTTGGTGTCGGTTTCTTGACTTTCCAGCCGAACGGGCTCGTTGACAATGCCATTCCCATACTCCAGAAGCATCGAGTAGCAGCAGTCTGGCTATCGTTCCCTCGGACTGACGCCGATCATCTTCCAATCATACAAGCCATTCGAAAGGCCCAGGAGACTGCTGACTGGGATATCAGGATATTTGTCCAGGTAGGAACTATCAAAGCTGCAGAAGAAGCACTTCAGCAGGGGGTGGATGCTCTAGTAGTTCAAGGGACCGATGCAGGAGGACATCAGTGGGCCCAGGGTGCCAGTTTGATATCCCTCTTGCCTGAGGTGCGAGATCTTCTGTCGAGGACTCGGAATACGAGCACTGCTATCCTGGCAGCTGGTGGCATTGTGGATGGGAGGGGCTGTGTTGCTGCTCTCGGCCTAGGTGGGTTGTTCCGGACTTTGTGGCAGGTAACTGACTGTGTTAGGTGCCGATGGTATTGTTATGGGCACAAGGGTACGTCTTGCTTCTTCTCGTGGAGATGGAACCTTGCTAACCGAGTCTAGTTCGTTGCAACCTCGGAATGCCCTGCGCCGTCTACGATTAAACAGACCATCGTATCGAAGACGGATGGCGGAGTCTCAACCATCAAGTCTATCCGACATGACATATTCCAATCAACTGATCTCTTTCCGAGACAGTATGATGGCAGAGCTGTTGTTGGTGTTAGTTACGAGGATTCCCAGGAGGGGGTCAGTGACGAGGAAATCATCCGACGATACAATGAGGCTAAAGAGGCTGGCGAACACCAACGGAGGACTATCTGGGCGTGAGTATCCGGAGTCTATACTGTATGTATCTCTTGGACTTTTATGTTAATGGCTTCAATAGGGGTGCGAGTATTGGAAGTATCAATGCGGTGGTCTCTGTTGAGCACGTCGTGCAGTCTACTCAGCGAGAGGTGCAAGAGATATTGAGACGATTGAGCGTAGGGCTTTAGCTCTATATACCTAGCATATATTCGTTTTGTCTTATTTTTTGGTGTGAAATCAAGGGATTGATCTGTGACACGGAAGATATACCGGTATAGGATATATATACAAACATTAGAATTAGCATAAACGTATAGGAAAACAAGGCCAATCAAATCCAATCAAATCCAATCAAATCCAGCTCAATTAGCAAACCAAACACAGGAAAGAATATCTTCGTCAAAACTAGGAATTTGCGTCAGATCAAGATCGTCAAGCGCTGGCAACAGGCTGAATTGAGTATCCCCCCCCCCCCTTCCTCCCCCCTCTTTATTCCCAATTCCCAATTCCTCGACCCTCTAAGCGATCATCTCTACCTCTCAGTTTCATATCCCAAAAATACACACATCTCAAACAAATCAAAATTCACGGCCGTGTTTGGTCAGCCTTGAAGTTGGGACCTTGGTGTTCCCTTCTAAGCTGCCCGCGATTTATTCCTCGATTTATTCCTGTCCGCCCAGCCACGAATACAACATCGAATAGTGAATTTCCAACAACTGGGTCCTACAAGAGGCAATTCTCTGCTTCCCCCACCTTCACAATCCTCGCCTCCACCCCCAGCGACGTTCAATCCGCCGCAATGAATAAGACTACACCCTCGCCGAGCCCGGTCCCCAAAGCTTCACCAGGATCGAAACCCTCTCCCTCGCCGGTCGCAGGCGCAAAACGCAAGAGAAACGCACCGGCCAAATATTATGCCGTCAAGGCGGGTCACAAACCCGGTATCTACTATGGGTGGAATGATTGTCTAGCTCAAATAACGGGATTCAAGGGAGCAATCTGTGAGTGCGCTCCTCGCACTGGTTCTTCCAACAGGCGCGTAAACTTAGCCAGAGACTGACACATAGGCTCCTTAGTCCAATCGTTTCCCTCGCAAGAAGCAGCCAACGCGTTTCTGAACGGTGTCAAGCTCCCAACCGAATCGCAGAGCTCAGAGAACACACGATTCTATGGTATCCAAAGGGGCCGGGTTACTGGAGTATACACAGACTGGACAACGGCACAGGAGCAGATTCGCGGGTTTCCGCGACCTCGATATCGCAAGTTCTCCACCCGTGAAGAGGCAGAGGAATTTGTACGGGAAGGGCAGACACAGGCCCCAGTCGGGTTCGGTGTGGCAACTGGGCCCTCTGGCCCTCATATGGTAATGCCCGAAAAGCCCAAAAACGCAGAAGGAGTCGAGTTTGCGCCAGGCGACGGCCCACTGCCGACAGGAGCGGAGGATGGGTTCGACCCCAACGTCATCCTAGACCCAGCTACTGGCCAGGTGGTGTACAAGACAGCCCCCCAGATGACTGCAACAAAATCGCAATCAACGGGTATCCCTGGGATGCTCCGGATATACACCGATGGGAGTTCATTAAGGAATGGCACCCCATTAGCATCGGCCGGGGTAGGGGTATACTTTGGGCCTGGCGATGCAAGGTTCGTACACTCGCACATTGGGCTATTTTCACTACCCTCCACCACGTCTTCTAACTTCCGTCACTTATCCCAGCAGAAACGTATCGGAGCCACTAAAGGGCAGTCGTCAAACGAACCAGCGCGCTGAATTGACCGCGATCCTTCGGGCGATTGATATTGCCCCTCGGCACCGAGATGTAACCATAATCACCGACAGCCGATATTCGATTGACTGTGTTACCGTATGGTTTATCAACTGGCGTCGCAACAATTGGATGACCCGGGACAAGAAGCCAGTTGAGAACAAGGATTTGGTTGAGTCGATTCTGATCAAAATCGAGGAACGCAATGACCTTAAGGTGAAGACCTTGTTTGAATGGGTTAAAGGTCATAATAAAGACCCCGGCAATGAAGAGGCCGATAAATTAGCCGTCAATGGAGCCCAAAGGGGGGTGGCTGCAAAGGCAGAGGCACTGCATGTGGCCCAAGAGGTGCCCGATGAATTGTTTGATGAAGACTACTAGGCATTTTGTAAAAAAACAAAGCGAGAATGTTGCATCCAATGGAATAGGAATATCAATTAGTACACAAGTAACTAGTTGACTCTGTAGTTCTCTATGTACTATAGGTCATGTGCCAAGACCCGGGATGTCCCAACCACAGACATCTCATCTTCGTATCTTTATATCTTCCTCACCTCCATAGCAACATACAAATGCTACCATTCTTTGCTTCAAAGTCATTTCAATATATCCAAATGATCTTGCCTACAATCACACAGGAAATTCAAACTATGATTCAATAACATTGGCTTGACCTTGACATACAGGACATACAGACATTACCCAAGTCTCTAGATCTCATTGATCTGACTCTTCTGAATCCAGAATACTCCCTTAGTTGATACATCTGAGCCCAATCGCCCCCAAATAAAACTCAGGACATTCCAAGCGGGATATAGTGCAGACAAAAATGCCGACACTCGCCTTGATCAACTTCAACATCGTCTGCGCGACGCTCGGAGGGTTTGTTTCCCTATTCGGACTAGTATCCTACCTTTGCAAGGAGCAGTTCTACCTATCCGAAGCATGTAAGTGTTAAGTCATCCTGGTATCACCACATTTGCTAACATGAAATAGTAATCTCCCTGCTAGCCGGAGTGTTATTCTCTCCCCATGCAGCCAATTTCATCAGACCGGATGACTATGCACTCCATTCTGAAGAAAACCTCGAGGTAATCACTTTGCATTTTACCCGCTTAGTGCTAGGCGTGCAGCTGGTCCTAGCCGGAGTCCAACTCCCAAAGCGGTATCTGCAGATCGAATGGCGGAGCCTAGGGCTACTCCTTGGACCAGGCATGGCTGCCATGTGGATGTGCAGTAGCCTACTGATCTGGGCCATGGTTCCGAATTTTAAGTTCCTCCATGCCCTGGTCGTCGGCGCATGCGTGACCCCAACCGACCCCGTTCTATCCAACTCCATTGTTAAGGGCAAATTTGCCGATAAACATGTTCCCCGCGAGCTGCAGAGAATCATTATCGCTGAATCTGGCGCCAATGATGGCCTTGGCTACCCGTTCCTTTTCTTTGCCATTTATCTCCTCCAGTATACTGGGATGGGAAGCCAGAGCTATAGCGGTGGTGCGGGGAAGGCGATGGCGTTGTGGTTCTATGAGACCTGGGCATATACTATTCTGTTGAGCATAGTCTATGGAACTGTGGTTGGTTGGATTGCGAGGAAGCTGTTGCACTGGGCAGAGGAGAAGCGCTATGTTGACCGGGAGAGCTTTTTGGTGTTTGCCATTGCTCTTGCAGTGAGTTCATCTCGAAATCCCCCCCAAAAGGTGCTTTGCTAACCTCTCAAATAGCTGTTCATCGTGGGAACCTGTGGTTTGATTGGAACAGATGATCTTCTGGCCTGTTTCATTGCTGGAAATGTATTCACGCAAGAGTAGGTCACCTCGATGCAGGCTATGATATCATGAATGCTAACAAAGACAGTGACTGGTTCCGCCTTGAGACCATAGACGATTCCCTCCAACCAACAATCGACATGCTTCTTAACCTGTCTGTCTTTATGTGGTTTGGAGCGGTCTGCCCATGGTCATCCTTCCTGAACAACAGCGTGATTCCAATCAATCGGCTCATCTTCTTGGGAATATTGATCCTCCTAGTCCGCCGCCTCCCAATCGTCTTGGCCATGCACAAATGGATCCCGCAGATCGAGCTCGTCTCCCAGGCTGCATTCGTCGGCTTCTTCGGTCCCATCGGAGTGGGCGCTATCTTCTACCTGTCAATCAGCCGTGAATTCTTGCGCAAGATACAAGTCGATGGCGAGGTGCCAGGGGACGTAAAGCAAGTGATGGAGACTATCCAAGTTGTGGTCTGGTTTTTAGTAATCTGCAGTATTGTGAGTCTCCTCCCTAAATAACCTAACCTACATCCCTCCCATCTTAGTCACCTTCTGACCAAACCCAGGTTGTACATGGCCTCTCTGTCCCCATTGGAAAAGCTGGCTATCACCTCCCATCGACCATTTCCAGCGTCATCAGCACCAGTACATACGAGGGGCCCGAGCCGGTCCCCATCTCAAACATCAGCCACACCCACAGCACGGCCACACCTCTCACAACGGGGGAGGATGCGAGTTATCGCAGCCGCAAGCGTGGTTTCCGGGGTGCAAACCCCAGCTTGTCATTCTTTGGCATTGGTAGTTCGGTGATCCATCCTCGTCCTCGTTCACCGTTTCAGCAGCCCGGCGTCGGTCAGCCTGAGTCAGAGAGACCTGCCCACTTAGTTATTCAGCAGACCACAGGCGGGGATAACAAGACCTAGCCTTAATTGCACCTGGGATTTGATCGATCCGTACGGCTATGCTTCGCTTTGATTGGATTCATCCAATTGCTTGATTAGCAGAGCGAAGTGTTGCGTGGGTCATTATATCATTCCTCGTAAATTGCTAGCCGGGTCGAAATCGTGCTTGGTTCAAGCTGGAGCTGGTGTCATCTTTCAGTTGAACGGGCCACAGCGCGAGCTGATGGAGACATACGAGAAATTGGCGAGCATTGCACCATTCGTCATTCCGGATGCTCTTAAATCTTAAGCGATAGAGTCTCAATAACATGAGAGTACAAGAACTAGACAAATACAAGCAAGAGAGATTGAACAAAGCTTTACCAGCATTCACAGTGCCATGCCTAGACCAGCATAGAATATGCCCTCGGAAAAATAGCAAATACAAGTGGTGTGCATTGGTATCAAATAATGTGTCCTAATCAAAGGAAACTTCATAACCTCGTCAAGGTGTGTTTGACCTGATAACCAAGATAACCGTTCCACCCATCCCCGAAGATTACCAGAGAGACTATATTCTCCGATCGATACATGTGTTTTTTTCTG